AGATGGCAGTTTGTTAGAAGGATATGGGGTTTAAATATATATTCTAAGATCAAATCAACAATATATGACAGCCTCAAATGATAATGTGATCTTAAATTGAATTGAAAGGTCCAGGCTAGGGAAATGACAAGTCTCATTCTAGTCTGCCCTGGTCAGGCCATAACTGTATTCAGTTTTTGGCCCCACATTTTAGGAAGCATATCTAGAAGTATATGAAATTATTTAAGATATCATATGTGAATTGTTTTAGAGAACTGAGGGTATACTGAAGAAAAGCCTTAGTGGGGACATAACTGTCTTCAAGTATTTGAAGGGCTATCATTTGTACAAGGGATTGAAATTGTTCTGTTTGGCAGAACTAAGAGCAAAAGGTAGAAGTTGTACAGAGGTCTATTTTGGGCTTAATATGAAGACCATTTTCCTAACAATTAGAGATATTCAAAAACAAAAGTTACTTTGAGAAGTACTGGATTTCCCCTCATTAAGGTTATTCACTCAGGTGGATAGATTATGTTACCGAGATTAAACAGGTTCCTTCCAACTCTGAAACTGTTTCCTTACCTTGAACAGGAAACTTTGTATTGTTCAAGCATTTGAAATTTATCTTTTAACTTATTACCTCTTCAACTACAGATCAAAGTTTTCTAATTAGTGTAAATACAGAAAGGGGAATATGTAAATATAAGATTTTTTTTTTCCTTAGGAGGAGAATTTATCATGCTATGACTGATACAGTTGACTTGCCATGTTCACAGTAAAGTTTCAGTGATTTATAAACAAATTTTTGGAGGTTAACAACTCTTCTGGACTTTAAGAGTTTCATAACCCTTTTTAGCCATAACAAACTTGTGAATTTGTAGAAACACAACCCTTCTACTCCTACACTAGCCATTGTCCTCCACACATTTTTACAAGATGTTATGTGAGTTTTGGAACTAATAAAAAGCAAATACCTGATGTCATGAGACAAGAATAAAAATGTTAAAAATTGAGACTTTACTTCATTTACTTTTAAACTCACTTTTTGATGTAGACTCAAAAACCTCTAAAGTCTCTTTGAACTCTATAATATTCACACACATACATTAACATGCATACAGATGCAGCACCACTCTCTCTCCACTATGGTTATTATTGTACTGTTACTTCTATTCTCCAGGTTAAATTTGTAAGGCAATCTATAATACAGTCATACTCTGATGAAGTGCCCTGATGTACCAGAGTAGTCTAAGTGGAATCTGCATTTTGGAGTGTTTCTCTTATCCCTGATATATTTGAGTTTGTACCTAACTCAGCTTATCTAGATAAGTCTTCTAAAATAGTAGTCTCTAAAGTGGGAGCTGTCATCTACCCTAAGGGGACTGTGACCAACAAATAAGAGGATGAAAAGATGGGTTACACCTCATACTCCCTGCCACTGTCTACACAACCACGCCTATCCTATTTCTATACCCACCATTCTCCTACTCTACCCAATCTCCTTCCTGAGCAAGCTCCCGACCTTTTCTCAGTCCTTCAGAGTACTTAGAACCTAGTCAATACAGGGATACTCACAGCACTATGTAGGTACCACTGGGAAAATTCTCGATTAGCTTTCCCTTGAGATCACTTAGAATCTATGCTTGCAACCCCTTGAATGTTGGGCTCTGTGCTCTAAGATAGTAAGAGCCTTACCTACCCTGTTTATGTTTTGGGTGTGACAGTCACGTATGGGAAAGTTGTGACCTACATATTATCTTTCCTTTCCAAACCTATCCTCTTCCAAACTTTCCTATTACTGTGGGATGCATCACCGCCATACCACGCGTCCAGGCTGGCTTCAGTTCCTTACCCTACATTGCCAAATCCTGTTTCTGCCTCTGTGTCTCTTGCACCTGTCCTCACTATTCACACAATGACCACCCTGTATTTCAGTTTCTCATCACATCTTGCCTAAACTATATTAACTTCTAATTGGTCTCCCTGTTTCTGGTCTCTTCCCTATCCTCCACACAATGGCCAAACTGATTTTTCTAAAGTGCATGTTTAACCATTTCAGTGTCCTACTAGGAAACTCCACTAACTCTACGATTAAATGTTATTTCGACATTATCTCATCCTTTTAAAACGCCTATTTTTGTATAAATATTACATGATTTGTAAATAAGTAAATATACACATATTGGGTACAGGTGCTAAAACATTCTTTACCAATGGGGTGTTCAATCAAAAGGTTTGGAGATCTTTGTTCTAAAAAGATGGCTTACCAATAATTCTATTTCTGTTTTATGGCAACATTCCCCTAAGAGATATGAAATCCTAGGGATTTTGTGTTTTTTGACATAAGATCCTCTTGTTTTGACCATTTCTAAAGTTTCCTTCCTTCTACAGCTTTTTTGCTAAAAATTCTATCTTGATGTTAAAATTCAACTTTGTTTTAGATTTTAATTTTGTCTTATGTGAAACAAGAACACAATGGTGTTCTAATACAGAGACTGTGAATTATGATATACAAGGAGTATGAGATATGTTTTGTGAAAATGTTTCCTTTTGTGAAACAGTATCAGGATGAGAGATAATCAAGTGGGTTCCTCATGCCTCTGCATAAAAGCATACCAAAACACATAAGAAAAACTAATGTGGAAAACATCAACAAAGAGCTCTATTTTATAATGTTCTGTAAGTCTATAAAGCTAGGTTTTCTTCTCTAATTAAAGGGAGGATGAGTACACCAAGAACTCTAACAAGAAGGGAATAAGTTAAAAGCTACACTGTTGCCATTAAGTAGGCAAAAAAAAAATTTAAATAAATTTGGCATATTAACAGTACAAGATTAAAATAGAGACATACCTAACCAGTTTTTAAAATGTTTGAAACCATTAATATCAAACCTGGTTAAGCTATGTTCCTTCTTCTAAAGGAAAGAGAAATAAAATCTCAATACCTTTTTGTTATAACTTAATAAAATTATAGAACTTAAGATAATTCACTTTTAGTAAACATTTGTACTATAATGAATAACTATAGCACTTTGTGTATTGGAATGATGTAACATTCCTTTATATAAAAAAAATTAAATAAAAAATTTAAAGTTCACATGCTGTAAGTCAACATAAATATTTCCTTTATTACTTTCTTAAATAGAGGCATGTGTATATTTTTCTCAAAATTAAATGTTGAGAACAGTACCCAAGGTTAAAACAACCTGTAACTACACAATTCCTTTATAGCACCAAGTTCTTATTTTATTTATGTTTTTATAATTTACCCTTTTCCAAGTACATCTTTACAGTCATAAAGTGAAATGATGCTGTGCTTGGTTTTTCCTATTATATTCTCATTAAAATATGTAAGCTGTATTTACTAACAACTGGTTTAACCACTTTGACTGGACTGACCAACTAGATAATTTAGCCCAAATGGGCAAAACTCATTCTGTGTATACATGCAATAAGAAAATTTTTCTTTATAAAAGAACCTAAGCCCATTTAAATATTCCACATTTATATGCACTCAGATTTTTGATACTTTACACAGAAAACAGTGGTAAATGTATAAACAAAGCTTAAGAGGAGTTTAAGTTAATTCATGGACTAGATTCATAACAATTTATTATAGTAACTTAGGGGATGTTCAAGGAACATTCTAAAAAAAAATTTTTTTTGGTTAGTGCTCCAGACAGCAATCTCCCTCAATACCCCAAACCATTTGGGGCAGAACACTGTACTAACATGGTATACATATATTCATGGTTTTTAACACTAATGAGGGAAAAAATGTTAGCTTTCATCTGAAATTACAATTCCTTAGAAGATAATAGGAATAAATATCCTAGGTTGTGTCAGTGCTGTCTAGAACAATCCTACCCTGTTGGTAAAGGGTGACAGTACAAGTTTCTGGGAAATATATGAGTACTTCTGAAAGGATTCTCTAACCCAGAAGCAGAAAAACTTGTCCACTGTTTTAAATTTAATAGCTTTGATTTCAAGGAAAATAGGAGAGAAAGAGATTCTCTATTTGATGCCAAATCCAAATTTAAAACCAGTCATGGTGGAGTAGAGGTGTGGGGGATACAACCGTCCTTAGCAAAATACATAAAATATATTGGAGGTACTACTTCAGGCACATGAAAGCTCAATGACGCTACATATACTGACAGGGATAAGGTGGCCTAGCAAAGAAAAACAAATTATTACAAAATACAAAATGCTTAGGTGCCAAGTTTATCTTAATAGTTTGAAAAATCATTAAACTAATATGTACTATGTTTTCTTAGAAATTGAAAATCTACACATTAGGGTCAGTGCCACTAATATTGGTATGGTTACTTTAGTAGCCCAGGGTATATGGGAACGCAAAGTGATATGGCAAATCAATTCAAACAACAAAGATATTTGCCTCATTTCCCTGGATAAAGTTTCACTGTCACAAAGCCAAAATTATAATTTTAATACTGATGGGAAAACCATCAAAGTAGTAGAGTGAAGTGGGATAAAATGTTTTTTCAACCAGATTGAAATAACAAGGATGACTAGTGAAGAATGATTTTCTTAAACCAAAGGCACATTCTTTCATTTCAGAGGATGAAGTAATTAAGGATACTAATTCACTTTGGTTAAATATATTAATGTTAAAAAAAGAAAGATTTCAGGTGGCTGAGAAGCAAGCTTTACAGCATTTATACATTTAGTGCAGATGTTAAAGAAAATGACAAAATAAAGGCTATGGCTCTGACCTTATTTTGAATTTTTTTTTTTTAAAGAAACATGTTCAACATTTAAACAAAAAAGACTGGATAAAACAATTTACCAGTAGTTTCTAAGTTCAAGTTTACGGCAAAGAAATGAGAAAAAATATATATGTGTGTGTGTGTGTGTGTGTGTGTGTATACATACATATATATATATATGTATATACATATATGTACACACACACACACACACACACACAAAACCCCAACACCGTTTAAAAAGGAAAATGGAAGCAACTAAAATTAATGGAACTGATAATCTGTATTGAACTGTGGTGGCAATAAAAGTTTTTAATGGGAACCAAAACAAAATGTTTAAGTATCTGTCTACCTAGTAAATAGTTCCTCTTCCCATGATCTTAATGTCAGTATGCTCTTGTTATGAGTTATTTGTAAACCTTCACATGAAATTATATTACATAAAGGAGAACAGAAACTATGACTTGCTAAAGAATTTAATAAAGTAGTAACTATGAAAAGTATTAACTTGGTACTGTGAAAATAATGATCAACCATTTAATACTACCCAGATGTCTAGTGTTTATAGACATAAAACAGATTTTAAACTCTTGCTATATGTAGTCACATAGAGTCAAAATTGAGAGCTGCCCCAAAATGAAGCTTATTTTGGCACCTGTGCTAAATGCTGCTACCTAAGCAAGGTCAAGGAAAAATAAGGAAAAGGACAGTCATGATTTAGTCACATTCATAACTTTTTCATAGAAAAATATAAATATATTCCCTGAATTATAGAACAAAAAAAAATCACTGGAACAGCCAATATTCACCACAAATTCCAGCTCAATTCCTCTAAAAAATGAACTGGTTTTCCCTCAAGGTCATAAGGTGCAATCACCTGTATCAAAAACATTTTCTACATCTAAAACTCTATCATCATCCCCATAATTATATCTTACAGTTCTTCTACCCTGATTTCTTGTTCTTATTTTTGAACGTCGTGGAGCTTTTTTAGTTTTTGCGTAGTCCAAATCCTCCCAGTCGTTATCATCCAACCTTAACCTTGGTCGTTTGCTTTTTCTTGGTAATCTCATTGGTTTAGATACATTACCTTTAAAAGTATTACCACCTCTTCTAACAACATTTGCTTTTCTATTCCTTTTTCTCTTTTTTGTTTTTATATTATCGCTATAGGCAGTATCTGAATCAGTTTCTGTTTCCAGATTTGAATCACATTTGGGATTAGTCTTTGAACTAGCTGCTATTTCAGAACCTTCCAAAATTTTTGATTCAGAACATTTTCTCTTCCTCCCCTTTTCAGACTCTGTTGTGACTTGCTCATGATGAACTTCAGCCTTTCTGAAAGGAATCTTTTGACGAGTTTTCCGTCTGGTTCTTCTACCTGTCCATTTTCCTACCCCAGAACTCATTTCATCTTCAACACTATTATCTGAAGTAGACCTCTGTACCAAAGTTGACTGGAAAGGAATTTTCCTCTTCTTATCTTCTGGATTATGGCTTTTTGAATCTTCATTTGAAGATTCAATTGGGGGATTTTTTGTTGTATGAGATGCAGCACTAGTAGATTTGAGACAATTGCTACGCCATTTCTGATTACTTTCTGAGTCTAAGTCTCCATTTATAGACTCACTAACATTTTTCCTACTACTATCAGAACCAGTATCAAGTAGTTGATCTTCAGAGGTACTTTGTTCATTCAACACTGTTTCACTCTTTAAACTTGTATCTCCCTCAGAACCATACAATGCATTCTCAGGTTTAGTAGAAGCACAATTAAGGGTCTTTTTCCTATACCCATTGCTTCTAGTGCACACATTTTCTGAATTAAAATCTTCTTCATCACTCATTAACCTTATTTTATTGGCAGCCATTGTAGCACTTCTCCGTGGAATCCTTCGGAAACCAATTTTGCCTTTTAATGATTTAACTACTTCTGAAGAATTGCTGTCTGAGTCACTGGAGCATATCCTTTTCTTAGAAGCTTTTCCATTGTGTCCATTTTCTTGGGATACAGAATCTGAGGGCGGAAAAAAGTTCTTTAATTTTTAACAGTAAAATAAATTATTATTTCTATTAGTAGAAAGCTGAAAAGAATAGCATCAAATTCCTATTAGACTATTACTCAAGGTCTTTTTGGTATTTTAGATAAAAAATTCTGCCAAACTACAATCTTAAAAATTTATATAGCACCTTTCTACCTAATATGATATACTCTATTATTTAGTTAACTTTAATGTGACCCATACTCATCACTGACTGGGTCAATTTACCAGCCAATAGACCAACAAGCATTTATTAAGCACTTACTACATGCCAAGCACTGTGGTAGAGGCTGGGAAAACAAAGACAAAAACAGGCCCTGCCCTCAAAAAAAAAATACTCTGTTGGGGAAGACAACATGGACACATAAGTATTTACAAAGTAAATACAGGGTAAAAGGGGTAGTTAGGCATTAGTACATGGAAAGTGGCACTTGAGCTAAAATTTAAATGGAATTACGTATTCTAAGCAGTGCTTCTCAAAGTGCACTTTGCCTTGGGAATCCCTGAGATCCTTGGGCAGGGGGGAAGAAGAGGAAGGGGTGTCTGCAAGGTCAAATGTACTTTCATAATAATATATGATCTGTCTTTTAAAATATTCCTCCCATTTCCAACTACAACTATACATATGTGTGATGCTGAATTTTCTTCATCTATTTCAACCAAAATAACATGTCATAACAGAATGAACTCAGAAGCAGATAAAAGAATCCAGTTATCTTCTATTAAACCAGGCAGAGATTTGCAAAAACAATGCTATATTCCTTACTAAATTGTTTTGGAAAAAGTTATTTTTCATAAAAATGTTATTTATATGAATAGATGATTATTATTTTAAATGAATTAATATTTTTAAAACTTACCAGTTTTATGCTATGACAAATATTTACATAAAAATATTTATAAAAACAAGTTAAAACTTAACATAATAAATATCAATAGATGCAACCCACATAAACAAAAGCTCCTGGGCTCCTCATCAATTCTTAAGAGTGTAAATAAAGAGGTTCAGAGATCAAAAAGTCTGAGAACTGCTGTTCTAGGAGTTCTTAAACAGTGAGTGGTCCAAGACTGTTTAAAATGTGTGTGTGTGTGTGTCTATGTAATATTTCAATATATTGGCTTTGTTATATTATGCATTTTAAAATATTATTCTGAAAAAGGGTCCATAGGCTTTACCAAATTGCCAAAGGTGTCCAGGATACAAAAAAGGTTAAGAGGTGGGAGCACAAGAGAGTACACTACAGGTATAAGGGATAGTGTATATAAACATAAGGGTAGCTAGGTGGCACAACAGATAGAATATGGGGCCTGGAGTCAGGAATACTCATCTTCCTGAGTTTGAATATGACCTCAAACACATCCCAGCTGTGTGAACCTGGGCAAGTCACTTCACTTTGTTTGCCTTAGTTTCTTCATTTATAAACTGAGCTGGAGAAGGAAATGGCAAACCACTCCAGTATCTTTGCCAAGAAAACCCCAGATAAGCGGTTTGTCATAGATAAGGACAAAAGGTAGCTAGCTGGCTGGAACATAGAATGTATTAATGGAAAATGAGAAGGGAAAGGTAGGTTGCAGCCAAGTTGTTTAAACACCCTAAAGAAAATTTTGTATTTAACTCTACTTTATATATATGTAATGTATACATACACACATACACACACATGCATATACATGCATGCATGCATACACATACACACACACACACACACAATTTGTCAAGTCTAGTTGATTCAACTTTACCACATCTCTTTTTCTACCCTGCAGGAGCCACAGGAGTTTACTCAACATGAGAGTGAAATAATCAGACTTGTGCTTTAGGAATATCACTAGTAACTGTGTGGAAGACGGACCAGAGAGAAAAGAGACTTGAGGGAGGAACAGCAAATGGAGAGTGTGGATTAGAGAAAGGGATGGAGAAGAAAGAAACTGTGCAGGCAGCATTAACAAGACTTGGCAACTGATTTTATGCAAGAAGCAAAGGAGTTAGGGATGAATTTAAGTTTGAAAATTGAGGTGATTGGATGGTGATGCCCAAAATATAGAAAAAGAGTGGTGGGAGAGATAATCAGTTTTGCTTTGGAAGTCCTGAATTTGAGATTCTGACAAGTCATCCAATCTGAAATGTCCAGTAATAGTTGGTAACTCTGGGCTGGAGAGAAACTAGGGCTAGAGACTGGATCTAGGCGTTATCTGCATAAATATAACTGAATCCATGGACAGACAGGAAGGAAGAGGGGATGAAGAGGGAGAAAGGGGGAAGGAAAAAGAGCATCGGAAAAGGGGAAAGGAAATAGGGGAGAAGAATGGGAAAGGAGAAAATCTTCTGGAGTATATAGTAAGGGGTGAAGCAAATGGGGGTTATATTTTAATCAGAGACTGAAGAAAATGGAGGATGATGTTAAGGTTTTGAGATGTAAAATAGGGCAGAAGTTGAAGGTTGTGCCAGATGGCTTTCATTTTCTCAGTGAAATACGAGGCAAGGTGGAGGGAGGGGAAGATAGGGGAGGTTTCAGTAGAAAAGATTTGGAACAGCTATTGTGGGGAGTGCTAGAGATTTGATTAGGGAGAAGTAAAAGTATTGTCTTGCAGCTGTACATCATTAAGATTGGACAACCTCAATTTGTAATGAACTCAGACAGTGTGGATGCACAACAGAAACCACAATTATACCAATCCTCTCATCATATTCAAATCTCTCTTCCAAACAGCTCTATTTTCTGCTGTAAGCTACACAACTCTGGTTCACATAATAACACTTATACTTTCAAGCTTCTCTAAATCCTTACTAGAAACTATTGCACCAGAAACCTATTACTGGCAAAAATAATCTCTTCTATGTTAAGTACAGAAGAGAAAACACTAGAGTTAGTGGTAGAGTATCTTGAATATATAGGATGAAATAAGATTTGGATGTAGTACTGTGTGTGTGTGTGAGTATTAAAATGTATAAGAAATCTTGAGAGCAGTGCATAGGAGAGAAAGATGTGAATGAATAGCTAAGTGGGTGAGGTAGCAAAGGAACACAGTGAAACAACGGATTGTGAGTTGGGGAGAACCAGTGAAACCACAAGTTGTGTTAATGCTAAGTTACCTTTCATAATATCTGCTGTCCTTTTATTTGGTTCTGTATTGTCATCATAACTATGGTCAGAATCCAAATCTGTTTCAGATTCATGTTTCAAATAATACTTGGAAACAGTAAGAGGCTTATCCTCCAAATTCCCTGAATTCAAAGATGTTTTCACTATCTTACAATGTCTTCCAGCTTCTTTTTCATTCTTTTCATCTTCATCAGAGTCCTCGGAATCACTTAGGACTTTTGCTTTCCTAAATACAGTAGCACCCTTCCAACAAGTTTTCTTGCATTTTTTACCACTCCATTCACTTGGCTCAGAATCTGCATCCTCCTTAGAACTCTTTCTGGCCTTAGATTTCTCAGCAGAAGTTGATGGACAAGCTCTTTTATTGCCATTCTCTGAATTATAGCCTTCTGAATCTTCCTCAGAAGATTCTATTAAGGGAAATTTTGTTGTAAAACCTGTTCCAGCATGGGCTTTATAACCATTAGCACGCCAATTCTTTTGTGACCCCATTAAATTACTTTCAGATTCAGAACTTCCATTTTCAGATTCACTGACACTTTTCCTAGCAGCACCAGAACACATCTCTGGTGCTGGCTGATTTTGTTTTTTTAGTTCTTTTTCACTTTCTGTCTTTAAACTTTGGTCATCCTCAGAGTTATACAATAACTTTTTTTTAGCTGCAGCAGAGGCATTTCGGTGAGGCAGTTTCCTGCTGATTTTGCTTGCAGAGCAAATACTTCCTGAGCTCAAATCTTCTTCCACGTCACTCATTAGCTTAATCTTATTAGCAGCCACGGCAGCACACTTTCGTGGGATTTTTCGGTTACTTCCAGCTTTGTCTTTGATTGTTTCACTAGTCAGTACTGAATTATCAGAATCACTCAAGTAGACCCTTTTGCGTACAGCTTTTCTACCACAACCATTTTCTAAAAAGACAGAACCTAAAAGAAAGGTGTGAAATGTAAAGTGAATAAAACAATCTTACTTTGATTTAGAAATATAAAGTATAAATGCAAATTAATGGTTAGTATACTAAGCTAAGTCAATCAAATTTTTACTTTGCTTTCAATGTTCTCCTAATACACATTTCTTTAAAATGTTACCAAGTATCTTACCATTTTTCCTTTGAGACGATCTATTTCTAGTCACAATGAAGTTTCTGTTTCTGCTTCTGGAGATCCCGTTACGTAATAAGGGCTCAGGAGATTCAGAGTTCTCTCTATTTTCCTCTGAACTACTGGAAGCTGACAAAGCAGAGAAAGAAGTAATTGAGAGATCTGACATAAGTTTTGTAACAGAGACAAGTTTTTCTCAAAAAGATTCAAACCAACACAGAAGATTTTTTTAAAATGACACAATAATAAGGAATAAATGCTTATGCACTTAAGTACTGATGGTAGCATGTGTCTCAAAGACATTGAATCACAAGTTCCTAACAACACAAGACTGTAGATTTTGAAGGGTGTATCAGGTAATTTCACACGCTGTGAAACAAGTAAACGAGCATCCATTTCAATTTTGTCATAGAAATAGATTTAGAGCTCTAAGGACCATCTAAATCCAACCTCTTCATTTTACAAATGAAATAGATGAGGAATTTGAGGACCAACCTGTACTAGAATTGGAATCCAAGCCCAGGGTGTCTGACTACAAATGCAATGCTCCTCTCACTACATTAACTCCAGGTAGTCCTAATAAAATACTAACCCTGAAACACACGAAGTCAAAGGACAGGTGTTGCTTTTGGATTAGCCATGTGATTTCAGTAGCAGAAGGAACTCTCTATGAACCAAAGCAAATTGACACCTGTTCTGCAACTCAGTCTTGGAGTTGTCTGAGGCACTGAGAGGTTACAAACAACTTGCCAAGCATCTCATAGTCTGTACATTTCATAAGGAGGACTTAAACTCAGTTCTTCCTGAATCATTAAGCTCCCTGAAAATCATGCCTTCGGGGAAGGGGAAGAGGTGTAGAACCCTGGATGCTTCATTTAAAGAAGTCATTATAAAAGAAAATTGCTCCAATACATTAGAAGCAGAATGCAAGGTGAAGAAAAGAAAAACCAATCAGTTACCTCCAGGAAATGAAAATACTCAAAAATGCCATTGCCAAAATCCAAAGTTTCCAAATTAAATTAAAGGTACAAGTGGCCAAAAAGAAGAAAGAAAAAGTACCGAGGAACCACAGTGATGATCACACAAACTTATGTAATAAATAATATGAAGAAAAGGAAATCTTGGAATGCTATACCAAAAGGCTTATAATAATAAAATGCTGCAAAACTGATTGTAATCCTATGCTGCTGGGGGCTGAGGGTGCAGAAGAAAGGGTACAGCAGCTTCAGAGACAGGAATGGAAATGATCTTTCATAGAATAGAGGGCTTTCAAGCACTTCTAATAGAAAGACCAAAGCTGACTAGAATCTTTGAAACACAAACACAGGTGACAAGAGAAACCCAGAAGGGTAAATCTATTTAAGTTAATGGTGATCATTAATTAACACTTACTCTTAACGGGAGAAGCAGAAGTAAGTATCCTTTAAATTGTTATATAGTCAGAGAGGAAGTAAAAAAAAACACGCAAGGTTTTGGAATGGCTTTATTCTGCTTCACTGGTTTTAACAGAAGGGGGAAAAAGGAGGAAAAAGTAAAAGAAGGTACAATGGGAAAAACTTATGTCTCATAATGATGACATGGAAAGAATATACACATGGAGGTCAGATTGGGAGAAGCAGACATCTGATGAATTTCACTCTTAACAGAATAGACAAAGGAGGGTTGAACACATCTACAGAATTTGGTACAGAAATAGGTGGAGACATGGAGAAGGAAGAAGGGAGTTTAAGGAGGCAGTTAAATTTAGAGAGATAATAGTCACAAACAAAATAAAATTCAACTATAATAAAGCAGATCAACTTCTGCGTCTCGTAGTTTCTTCAATTCTCACAACTTCTCAAACCTCTCTAAAATAAGTTATGCATGACATAAAGCAATTTCATCTGTCTCTATAGTCTAGGACACCAAGACCCCAAACAAAGTAAAAAATTCAACAAACTAACAGCAGAGAAGGCTAATTCTTAACCCCTAACATGTTCATTCAACACCAGCTCTCTCACTACCTGCCATACTCAGCAGCAGCAGGGCTTCACAACTCCCACTTGCATGCAACAAAACTCAATTCTACACACCAACATCTACTTTCCCCTATTCCCAGCAGCAGAGAATCAAACTCTAAATGGCAAAAATTTACCCAATCTTTTATAACAATAAGGAACATGACAGCAGTGAGGAGAAAGTGGCACCATTGTACCACCTAGCTGCCCCATATCATCTTAGCTTTTTTCACTTATGGTTAGGTTCAGATTTACAGGATAGATCACTTTGAGCTGCGTCTTGAGCTTGTATGCTATATTATTGCCTTTGTTGCTCTGCGGCAACAAAGCTAGGCTAGAGAACTAAGGAACAGAGGAAAACTGGGGCTAGTTCTGTTCCCTCAAAAATCACTTAGGCAAAGACCTAGGTTGGTGAACCATGATTTTGCAAAGGGAGTGAAGGGCGTGGGAGTGAAAAAGCTTTTAAGATCTAGCCCTGAAGGGAAATTGTCAGTAATTGGGAGTCAGAAAGTAAGCAAAATTAAAAATCTTGAGCATAAGCAGATAAATAGGTTAGTTATTATTAGCAGAAGGAGAAAATGGTATCTAGATCAGAGAAAAGGGTTCAGGCATCTATAAGTATTACAAGATAAAGGAAAATAAATCAACACCTGATGAAGCAGAGAATTCTGTGGATTCCCAAGAGAACATGGAATCATAGCAAAATATTTACAGATTATACAGCAGAAATAACTGGAAGAATAGAAAAGCCTAGGATCCACAGGAGAAAGTCTTATCAAAGAAATAAAAAAGAGGAAAACTGACTGGGAATACACGGAAATGAAAGATAATCTGGAAGAAGCAAAAATACATGATCTATATACATATAAGCAGAATACAGTTATCTGTAAAGTTAGCAGGAAAAAGGCCTTCAAAAGGAGAATTGCAAAGAATTATTCGCAACATAAAAGAATGCTCCAAATCACTAACAATAAGAAAAATGTAAATCAAAACAACCCTAAAATTAGTACCTCACAATCAAATTGGCAAAGATGCCAAATGATGGCAGTAGTCAATGTTGGAGTGGTTGTGGGAAGACAGGCATGCTGATGTATTATTAATGGAGCCGTGAATTAATATAACCATTTTAGAAAGCAACTTGGTATTAAGCAAATATGACTAGTGTAATTGACGACTTATGCGAAAGTAACTAAAATGTCCATATTGTTGGACTGAGAGATGGGCTTATACCATAGAGGCCAATGATAAGAAGAAAGTTCCTACAAACAGCAGAATATTTATAGTGTCATTTTGTGATGGCAAAAAACTAGGAAAAAGGAGATGCTGAACATTTGAAGAATGGCTAAAGAAATTGTGGTACGTGAATGTAATGAAATATCACCATGCTGTAACAAATGATCAATGTGATAAGGACTGAGAAGCACAGAAAATTCTACATGAACTGATACAGAGTGAAGTAAAACCCCCAAACCATTATGTACAAGGGATTACAACAATTTAAAATGAAAGAATAATTATGTACACCCCCCCCCCCAAAGTGAATGAGACAAAATTATAAACAACAAGCAGGGCTTGAAAGAGATGAGAAGACACTCATTCCACCCCAATGCAGATGTGGAAGGTCTGCAAGTTGCTCAGATTTTTGTAATTTTTTAATGAATCAGGCATATTCTTATGTTTTCCTCTTTATTCTACTTTCTTTTGGTTGTTTAAACAATACTATTTCTTATATAAGAAGGCTTTCTGGGAGGGGTGTGGGAAGGGATAATGGGATAAACTGATGATGTAAAAAACAAAAGACGTAAATAAAAACCTGTTAAAGAAAAAAAGACCCAGTTAGTCATAAGGATCTAGGCTTTGTAAAGACAGAAGAGCAGAGAAGTGAGATCAGACTGATGAAGGTGATGACGACGATGATGATGATGATAGCAGCTAACATTTGTAGAATGCCTTAAGGTTTACAATACACTTTACAGATATCATTTGACCCTCCCAAATACCTTAGGAGATGAAGGCACACTTATAGTCCACATTTTATGATGAGAAGGTAGAGAGACACAGACATTAAGTGACTGTCCAGATTCATATAGCTAGCTAGTATCTGAGGCTGGATCTGAATTTAGGTCTTCCTGACTCAAGGTATAGCACTCTATTCTCTGTGCCCCCTAGATACCAACTTGTTCTAGTATTGATTTTATCTGTGTTCTGGGTCAGGTCTACCTTGGGCTAGAAAAACTGTTGACAAAAATTCAATACCTATTTGTTCAAAACTCCTCAACAACATTGGAATGAATGGACCTTTCTTCAATATGGACCTATTTAAATCCAAGATTAACATCTATAAGGGAAAAAAGCTAGAGACTTTCCCAGTAAGATCCAGAGTAAAGCAAAGATGTTCACTGTCATCATTATTTGGTAGTGTTCTAGAACTGTTGGTTATTGGAATCAAACTAAAAAAAGCAACTGAGAAAAGAAACATAGCGAAAGAATAAATAAAATTATTGCTTTTTGCAGGTTACATGAGTAGAGGAAGGAGATGTATCTTTACAGAAATAAAGATAGACTTAAATAACTAGAAAATTTGTTTATGTTTGGATCATACTCAAATAAATAAAATTAATTTACAAAATTAATATTACCAAATTTTATCACCAAAATGAATTTACAGGAAAGGATACCAAACTATCACTTCTCAAACTATATTACAAATAAGTAATCACCCAAACAATTTGTTAAAAAAATAGAGATGATGAACAAGTGATAGAGAAGATGAAAGATAAAGTGAACAATTTTGATCACATAGAATTCAAAAATTGCTGCAAGAAAAATTCCAATGCATCAAAGAGTAGAAGGTAAGCAGTTAATGGGAAAAGAAAAATCTTTGCATCAATTCTGATAAAGGTTTTATTTCCAAGAAATATAAGGGATTGATTCAAATGCATATGAATAAGAAACATTCCGTAATAGATAAGTCGTCAAAGATATAAAGTCAGTTTTTCAAGAGGAGAAATCCAAGCTATTAACAGCCATAAGAAAAAAATGCTCTCAATCATTAAAATTAGAGAAATGCAAATTAAAGTAACTCTTGAGGCTTCACCTTACTCCTAGTAGATTGGCAAAGGTGACAAAAAG